CAACATTGAATGTCTGATCAATTATATTAACAAAAGACAGCACCCATGAATTGTTTATTTTCCTGGTCATATTGGTTTTATTTTTGGCCTTGTTAGCCTAAACACCAACATTGTTTGGTCGGATTTTCAATTCAATAGGTTTTTTTGAAATTCTCCAATCGATGGAGAATTTTACAACTTTGATACGCTGTGGATTGTTAACTTGACATTTAGATGGATTGTACTTTTCATGGGTTCTTCGATTGGAGAATCTTTTCAAGGAGTTTTCGTATTTTTGCAAGGTTTTATGGTTTTTCTTTTCTATAAGGTCGAGATGATGATCAAAAAAGACAAATAACGAGGGGTAAAACTCCTACGTTTTATTTTTGTATGTATTTCGCTGAATTTTGTATGTGATTATGAAATTTTTACCAGGGCCTCTTTAGTTAATCACTTAAATGTAGAAACTGACTCCTTTACTCCATTTTGTATAAATATTTTATTGCAACTTTCCTAATTTTTCTCCTTTATAGAAATACTTTTTAATTATCGATGCCAATCTCTTGTCAGCCAAATTGTTTACATTATAAATAATTTTTTTCGATTTAAAATTCTAATTAATTCCTTTCTTGTCATGATAAAACTTAATTTTTCAATTTTAACTAAATAATATTTATATATTCTTTATTTAATTTACATAACTTTCTTTTATTTTGTTTTTATTAATTTTTTTTTGAAAATTGTATTAAAATTTCTTTTTTTCTTCATATTATGAATATTTTTTTCGATTTAAAATTCTTTTTAATTCATTTCATTTTATGATAAAATGTCATTTTTTTATTTTTAATAATTGATATTTATTTTAATTTTAATTATTTCAATTTAATTAAAAAACTTTACAATACTTTTTTTTTCGCCTGCAAATTTTTTTCTTAATTTGTTAAATCATTTAATTTTTTTATTTGTGTGGTGTAACATGATAGTTACAAACTAAAATAACTTAAGAAATTAGAGAACAAACAAAAAAGGAATTACAAACGAAAATAGAAAAAAATTACAGGCAAAAATAAAAAGAAATAAAAAAATTTATTATAAAGTTTTTAAATTAAATTGAAATAATTAAAATTAATAATAAATATTATTTTATGAAATTTAAAAAAATTACGTTTTATCGTGAAACGGAAAAAATTAAAAAGAATTTAAAATAAAAAATTATTTATAATATGAAGAAAATAGAAATTCTAAAAAAAAAATCAAAAAATTATAATAAAAACAAAATAAAAGAAAGTTACAAAAATTAAATAAAGAATATATAAAAATTATTTTGTTAAAATCGAAAAATTATGTTTTATCATAGAGAAAGGAATAAAAAAAAATTTAAGCAAATATTTATAGTGTAAACAAAATGAAAAGAAAAAAAGGAACAGAAGGGAAATAAATGCACAGAGAAAAATCCCTTCGTGCACGTAGAGAAATCCCTTCGTTTATGGAGAAATTTCTCTCCATCCATAATGTGTTCACCTCCACACATAGTAGGATGGAGAATTCTCTTCATCCCAATTTTTTTTTTTTTACAATTTGTTTTTTGGTAAGTAATTTTTTTGGATTGAAAAAAATTCTTTTTAATTTTTTTTGTTATAATAAAACTTATTTTTTTTAAAGTTTAACTAAACGATATTTATATATTTTTTATTTAATTTTAATTATTTTGTTTTTATTTTTTAAATTTTTTAAAAATTTCTTTTTTCTTCATATTATAAATACTTTTTTTTAGATTTAAATTTTTTAATTCTTTTTATTTTACGATTTTTTCAATTTCAGCTAAATAATATTTATATATTCTTTATTTAATTTTTGTAACTTTCTTTTATTTTGTTTTTATTATATTTTTTTGAATAAATATTTTTTTTTCGATTTAAAATTCTTCTTAATTCTTTTCGTTTAAAACACAATTTTTTTGCATTTAACCCTAATTTCACTCTTACTCTGCGTTGCTACGATATTGATTTCTCTCGGCCTTTAACCTTAATTTCAATCTCCTTCTCTCGATTGTTCCAAAAATATCCAACAATTTCACGCACAATTAAGACGATTACTTGTATACCAAATCTTTAAACATTCAATTTCTTCTGCTGTATATTTTACTTTTAAATCTTGATTTTTTTTTTGTAAGATTTAACAAATCGCTCCCAAAATACTGTGAATCTTAAAAGAAATTGGAATTTAGGTATGTTCTTTCGTATTTTTTGTCGTGAATCTTCTAGATTTTTTTTTTTTGAATTTAACAAATTGTTATCAAAATACCAAAAAATTTCGCTAAAAGTTGAACTCTGGGGATCTCAAGTTTGTTCATTTATATATTTTTTTTTATTGTTTTTGTTTAATTGTGTTCATGTCCATTCTGAAGTTTTCATTCTAACTTTGTTTGAACTTTTGTGAAAGTTGTAGTTAGAAAAAAGCGGATTAACATACAAATTGAAGATTATTGACTTCAGGTATGTTGATTTCATTTTTGCTTTGTTTGAGGGTGATTTTTCTTTTACAAATAATTCGTTTTTACTCTACATTATTCATAATTTTAGCTTCTGATTTTTATCTTTATATTTATTTATTTTTTTGATCCTCGAACAATTGTACTTTAGGTTATTATGTGTAGTGTTTTATTGTAGTGTGGGAAATATTTGGTGTTGGCAGATTTGTAGTTGAACTAATAGTTAAGGTTTAGGTGATTGAAATGATTACTCATATTATAAGCATGTTCGAAAAGTTTGAGACCAGTTTCATTACAATGAATTTCTGTACAATCGTAAAAAAAATGTAGCTCAAAGAGAGGTTTCTTATTTCGAATGTTAGGTGGTATATGATGTAGCTCACTAAATTAAAATACTTCAACAAATTCTCATTCTTCAGTTATATATTCATGTGAAGGGAAGGCCTACAAATGAAACGAATATGGAAAATGGTCATTGTTCAATAAGAATGGAAAGTGTTTGTATTGGGAATAGATGAAAGCTTGGAAAACACATTCAGTTGATGAAGTTTTACTATGAGTGACAGTTAAAAAGAAACTCCATTGGGGACTGAGGTCTTAACCCTTTTTTGCAAGATTCGTTCCAAGAAACTAAGACTAGAATCATCCGGTGAAGTCTCTTTATATTTGCTGTCTCTTTACTTCTTGACACGTAAGCTTCTCTTTTTTTTTTTGTATATTTAATACACTGTCTGTGATGCTGGTGCATGATTTTTGTTGTCCTTTATGGTGTGATAATATGTGGGTTATGTGAAAATATTACAACTACAGTTATAAAGTTTTTTTAGTTAAATTGAAATAATTATAATTAAAAATAAATATTATTTAATTAAAATATTTAATTAAAATTGAACAAATTACGTTGTATCATAAAACGAAAAGAATTTTAAATCAAATAAAAAATTATTCACTTATAATATGAAGAAAAAAGAAATTTCAAAACAATTTTCAAATAATATATAAGGAAACAAAGTTACAAAAATTAAATAAAGAATATATAAATATTATTTAATTAAAATTGAAAAATTAAGTTTAATCATAAAAAACAGAATTAAAAATATTTTTAAATCGAAAAAAATATTTATAATATGAAAAAAAATTTAAAAAATAAATAAGAAATTTTTGTTCTCCTCCATCTATGAAGAGAAACAAAGAGATTCTCTCCTTTCAAGAGTTTGAATTCTCTTATTTGAAAGGAAAGTGAATTCTGTTTATTTTTTTTTGTTATGATAAAATTTAATTTTTTTTATTTTAATTAAATAATATTTATATATTCTTTATTTAATTCTCATAACGTTTTTTAATTTGTTTTATTTTTATTATATTTTTTAAAAAAATTACTTCATATTATAAATAATTTATTTTTCGATTTAACATTCTTTTCATTTTATCATTTTTTAAATTTTAATTAAATAAAATTTATTTTTAATAATTTCAATTTATTAAAAAACTTTATAATATATTTTTTAAATTTTTGCCTGCAATTTTTTATTCTTTAATTTGTTAAATCATTTATTTTTTTATAATATGAAGAAAAAGGAATTTTAATCATAGAACGAAAAGAATTTTAAATAAAATAAAAAATTATTTATAATATGAAGATTTTTTTTTTAAAACAATCTTCAAAAAATATATAATAAAAATAAAACAAATTAAACAGAAGAATATGGTGAACATTAAATAAAGAACATATAAATATTATTTAATTAAAATAAAAAAAATCAAATTTTTTCATTAAAAAAAAAGAATTAAAAAGGTTTTAAATCGAAAAAAATATTTATAATATGAACAAAATAAATAAATGAGGAAAAAATTAAAAAACGAAAAAGAAATCTCCATGTATCCTGAATTAATCCAATGAACCAAACGATTGGACTTCACCATATACTTCAAATTTTTAACTAGTTTTGAAAAATCTACAATTTTGACGCTAATATCTTTAATTTGTTAAATCATTTAGTTTTTTTATAATATGAAGAAAAAAGAATTTAAATCATAGAAGGAAAAGAATTTTAAATCAAACAAGAAATTATTTATAATATGAAGATTTTTTTTTAAACAATCTTCAAAAAATATATAATAAAAACAAAACAAATTAAACAAAAGAATGTTGTGAAAATTAAATAAAAAACATATAAATATTTTTTAATTAAAATTGAAAAAAATTAAGTTTTTTCATAAACAAAAAAGAATTAAAATGATTTTAAATCGAAAAAAATATTTATAATATGAAAAAAATAAATAAAAAATAAAAAAATGAGGAAAAAAATAAAAAAACGAAAAATAAATCTCCATACATCATGTGATAATGTAATGAACCAAACGATTAGTCTTCATCAAATACTTCGAATCTTCAATCAATTTTAAAAAATCTATAATTTTAACGTTAATAAAAATACAATAAATACAAAACTCGTGCAAAACACACGTCCAAAGACTAGTAAGAAAATAAGACGAAATTTCCTTTATATAGCAACTACAGCTCGCATCCACCATAGATTGCAAGCATCTTTCACTAATTGTAGAGAATTTTGGGATTTCTATAATCTAATAAGCAACACTTCCACCAAAATCCATCACAGTTCGCCATTCTCTCTCTCTCCCCGAGATCTGTCTCTATTGTTATGCATATTATATTATCTCTCTCTCTCTCTCTATAGTCAGTTTCTTCACACCGACATAATAAACGACACGATATAGGTTCGTTTTCTTTATGATATACTCACTTGAATATGTGCTTGTTTGTGAAATTTATGTTTTGATATGTTTTTCCATTTACTTGTGCTGATTCGAGTGACCAGTGCAGTGAACATACCAAGCTCTTCCCATTACTGAAAATTTTGCCCACTTGGTGTTTGAACTATTGGTCCACTCATTGAAGCTTTGAGTTTTGATTTTAAAAAAAAGGGCTTTTCTTGTATTTGTTGTGAATTAAGTTCTGGTAGTTTTTCAATTTGGTAATAACTAATAAATTTCAGATATATATATACGTGCTGCTGTGTTTCAGATTTTTGGTTTATTCTAATTTGTTTGCCAGATTACTATATGAAACGTAGAATTTAGCTCAATTCGAACAGACAGTTCATCCAATTGTTTACTCAATTTTTTGAATCTAAAAAATTTGTTCTTCTCTGCTTAATTTTTTACACTTTACACCACACCCACACGCATAAATATTAAACTAAGTTGTTTAGGAGATCTGATAATTGCCCAGGATGTGGTAGTATTAATTTAATAGGCTAAGACCGTATTTGTATGAATTTTTTAATTTAATAACTATGTTTATGAGTCCAGAATGAGATTCACGAAGTTTGATTGAACACGTTGATCTTCGTTTGCAAATTTGTGCCAGAGTAGGAACCAACAGCACCTCCATTAATTATTGCCCCATACCGTCATGCGCAACTCGTTGATCATGCGCTACTCATTGAATTGATGAGAACACAGAGCAGTTCAACTTTGATTATAATTTCTTGGTGGAACTAATGATCACAAGGTTTAGCAATGGGGAACTTGAACGTGGAGAAGAAATGGGTATTCCCTCTTGTCATAACTTCATTAGTGTGTGTTTTACTTTTTGCAACCTCATTCAATATGGGGCTTGCGTCATCATTGCACACGATCAATTCAATCTTTCCGTTATTCCCATCTCGTGTTATGACCAATCAAAGCAGCCCTTATTATGTTGTGACAAAGATTAAGCAAGCCCCACCACCTCCCACTGGGCCATCTGTTCCAAAATTTGCTTATTTGATTTCCGGGTCCAAAGGCGATCTGGAGAAGCTCTGGAGGACACTTCAGGCTTTGTATCATCCACAGAATTATTATGTTATTCATCTAGATCTTGAGTCACCGCCAGAGGAGAGATTAGAACTTGCATCACGAGTGGAAAAGGATCCCATTTTTGCAAAGGTTGGCAATGTGTACATGAATGCCAAAGCAAATATGGTTACTTACAGAGGACCCACCATGGTTTCTAATACTCTTCATGCGTGTGCCATTCTTCTCAAAAGACACAAGGATTGGGATTGGTTTATTAACCTCAGTGCATCAGATTACCCCTTGGTTACTCAAGATGGTGAGTTTGTCTTAAATTTTTTGGTCTTCTTACTGCTAGAAGTTTGTGCTATTTATTTACATCTTGTGGCTAAAATATCACAATTACTTGTTCTAGATTTATATGTACATATTTTTGAACTACATAGTTTCTTCTTGCAGATCTTCTTTACACATTTTCCAATTTAAAACGAGAGTTAAATTTCATTGAGCATACAAGCCGTTTAGGCTGGAAAGTGTAAGTTCCCAGTGCGGAATCCGATAATTACAGAAACCAAAAAAAAAAAAAAAAAAAAGGGTCTTATATTATATTTTGATTGAATGTAGGGGCAAAAGGGCAATGCCATTGATTGTAGACCCAGGGCTCTACCAGAAAAACAAGTCTGATATCTTTTTGGCCAGACCTCGGAGGAATTTGCCAACAGCATTCAATTTGTATACTGGTCAGTTAATACATTTATTTTCATTTAAAATATTTTTTCAATATGTTGATTTCAGCAATATATTTGCCAGTACCATTTTCTGGGATTTTTGTTTGACGGGCTGATAATCATATGGTGTCTGGTCTTCCAACAAATCTTTTCGCTTCATTACTCGGTCTTTGGTGGGGAAACTAGCAGACATATGTTTGTCGACATTATTAATGAAAATTGATCTTGGTTACCACCTATGGGCATTATGGAAATGCAGTATCGATTTAAAAGCTACTGTCCAAACAAAATGATTTGCTTCCAAGCATTTTTTGCTTTCCTGAATTCTAGTTTCATTTTTTAATGTTATCTGCTGCTGAGTTGTGTAATTCCTCTTGCTACACTTGTGTTTGGCAGGTTCAGCTTGGATGATCCTCTCACGTGCATTTGTGGAGTACTGCATATGGGGCTGGGATAATCTTCCTAGAAACCTGCTCATGTATTACACAAATTTTGTGTCCTCCCCTGAAGGCTACTTTCAGACTGTTATCTGCAATGCTCCAGAATTTGTCCCAACAGTTGTCAACCATGACATGCACTACATTTCTTGGGATATTCCTCCCAAACAGCATCCCCGTACCCTTTCTCTTAATGATACAGAAAAAATGATTGCAAGTGGTGCTGCCTTTGCTCGTAAATTCAAGCAGAATGTTCCTGTCCTCGACAAAATTGATAAAGAATTACTTGGACGAGAAAATGGGAGCTTCACACAGGGTGGTTGGTGCGCAGGAAACCCTCCTTGCTCTGAGGTTGGAAATCCCACAAGGCTTAAACCAGGACGGGGTGCTCAAAGGCTTCAGAGACTTTTAGGTAAACTAGTTTTGTCAGATAATTTTAGTAAAAATCAGTGTAAGTAGATTTTACAGTTATCTTTCTTGCTTGAGGATATGGAAAGGCTAGCCTAATTCACTTACCAGCACCAATATAACCAGTCAGAATAATGTATCTCTTGTACCCATTTTTGGAAGTTCTATTTGATATAACACATATAAAAACTTAAATTTCGTCATCTAGATTGTCTGCTGAGTTTCATTGCATAGCCTGGATGCATTCAACTATGAAACTGTGGTTCAACTATACGAGGTTAAATGTTGCTTTATAACGTCATCTGAATATAAAAAAACACAATAGGGTGACTGAAAAAGTTTCGATTAAGTTTTGGGTGAAATTGATGAAGAATATAAAATTCTAGTCTAATTTCCAAACCATCAAATTCTGTTCAAGGAAAAGCTTGTACATATGTTCAAGATTACATTATTCTATCCAAATGAGTAAAATCTGTTAGAGTTGAAGAACCCCCCTTGAATATTTTAGGTACAATATAGACTCAAATGTCTTGTTCCTATAACCTCGAGTGAAACAGTCAACTTATAAGCTGTGAGCCACTTTTTGTTTCAGCTGCTAAAAACTCATTTCTCCTGGAACTGTTCCCAATCTCAACCGGAACATGAAATTATCACGGCCAAACTAGACCATCTCTAGAAGCTTAATATTTTCCATGGAAGTGGCAGCAACCAAGGTGGACGACTGACCACGCCAACACACAGATGAGACAAATTGTGCTGTATCGTCCGCTTCATTTCCGGAAAGTGGATCTGTGTTGTTAAACTCAAACGATAATGCAGGCATCGGCAAAGATTTGTTATAGACGAAAACCTGTAGAGTGAAAGCTGATTGTCAATCAGGAGAATTGAAAACTACCATAACAATTAAGAAATGGCCATTTCGAAGACAAATTCCAGTAATGTCTTCAGTTTTGAAGCTCGTGGCTTGTGCTGGCATGGAGCTAGTGCTCTAGATTCCCGACTTGCCAAAAATCAGAAAGAAAAATAAAATGAGTTTGCTCATGTATACTTCATGTGGTCTCTCTTAATATTTTGCTTAGAAACCCAATAAGAGTATTCCTCACAACGCAATGTCCTTAAACACACTCCCCATATTCTACTTGCCTATTTCATAAGAATTTTGACCTCATAATACGGTGAAGTGCAAAAATTCTTCTAAAAAGATGTGAGAGAGCTTTAGTGTCAAAGTCATACGCCAACGACATTTCCTACAAATCTGACTCCAGCCAATTGCTTTCAAATTGGAAGAAGAGTCTCATTTACCTTAACATGGAAGTATCAGAAAAAAAAAACTTGACGAAAAAATAAAAGTTTGTACGGTGAAAAGAAATACATTGATGACATGTGTAACCTCATTTATCTCCGAGCCTGTTGCAATATAACCGTCGCACAGATAAACCAACGAAATTCTAAATAAAAGCAATGTCTATCATCAGATGCAAAAGATGATTTCATCGGTTAAATATCAAATAAAGGACATAATAACAACATAAAATCATAGGAGTCTTCAATGGACAAAACAGAATAATCTACCTTCACATTCAAGTGGCCAGTAAATGACTGGAGAGGACTATCAAGTACTCGTGACGTGCACATTGACAAATCCCAAAGCTTTAATGTGTTATCCATAGACGCAGACATGAGAGTCATTGAATCTATGAACTTGACTTAGCTCCAGAGGCGGATCTAAGGGGGGACTGGGCTAGGCTGTAACCCAGTCCCCTCTCTAGCCCACTTAATGTTTTTAAGGGCAAAAAAAGAAAAAAAAATTTAAATAAAATTTTTTTTTATGTGTAAATTTATATATATATTTTTACATATTAGCCCAATTTGTTATGTATTAGTTCAGTTTGTAGTTCAATCCTGACTCCGCCCCAGCATAGCTCACTATTTTATTATGTCCAACTAAAGTACATAGAGGCATTTTTGAGTTACATAGATCATGGTAATATATCCTATGATCTGCTGAACCAAAAGCAAGGGAATGACCAGAGTCCAATGGGAATTGAACACAGCAGATGTTGGCCTTGTCTTAATTGTACCAACACTTGCTCCCTGTAGTAGCAACCCATGTAAGAGAAACAACTTTATTACATTGAGAACTGAATCTACACAGCATTGATACCTAGATGACTGTAAGTACATGTAGTTTCAAAGCTGACATCCACCAAGTGCAACCTGATTGATATTCCAGAGCTTAACGGAACCATCGTTGCTGCCGCTGGCCAGCATTGTAGGATCTGCAACAGAAAAGTCAACCGACCAGACATGCCTTTCATGTTCTTTCATTTCCGTGAAAATTTGACTCCTCGTAACATCCCATACCTGCACAATATCAGTCAAAAAATGATTAACAATCTAAGTAGAAAGAAAATGTAAATAACGTATAGTATTGGAACTCTGACTACCTGCACCACACCTTCAAAGTTACTTGAAGCGACCTGGCTTTTGATATAGCCATTCCAACATATGCTGCTAAGCTTTGCCCTGGTCGCCATTTCAACTGCTGGATAATGGATATCACAATCTTCATTTAAGATCAACCTATATTCAAAAACTTTGATCTTCTTGTTTACGCCAGCAGTTGCGAAAAATTCACCATCGCGATCAAAACTAAGAGAGCATACGAGGTTTGATGAATTTAAAAGATCCCCTTGTTTCAAGTCTGCCTTGACTTTTAGTTTACTAAAATAGAGATACTTGCATAACCCCTCTAGGAAGGTATTTATCCATCCACTAGGTGTATGATCATTATACAGTTATTTAGATGACAAGTTACTAACTGAACTTCTTTCAGTTAGTGCAATTGATCTTCTACCGTAGCTACTTACAGTGGAGAATGTCCAATCAATGTCCTGCCCGTTGGTTTGAAGGCCCTACGTCTTGTCAAAAAATAAGCTGATTCCAATTTTCTAAAGTTCTTAATCACTCGATAACTTTTAGAGAGGACATTTCCTCGATTTCCATCAGGAACCTCCGACTTCTGATGCTCGTCTGCATGGGCATGGTTTTCGGATTCTTCTGTGTCATCGATATATATTCCCTTCCGTAACCGCTTCCTGGATCCTGAGCTACTAGAATCATCATCATCAGTAGTATTCATCATAGGGGGACCTGAAGCTAAAGTCCTGTTCAACTTCGATCTTGAGCCTCCTTTTACCCTGAGGGCTGCTTGAAGCTTTAAGACTTCTTCTATATCCGAAGACAGAATAGTCTCATCCAAGCTCTCTGCAGCTTCCTGTTTTCTTTGTTGCATTAAGTAGAAGGAATTCCAGCAACAACTCCTGCTCCTCTACTTGTTCTCCAAGCTCTACTGCAGCTTTTAGTTCTTCTATATTTTCTCTTGGTTCATTCAGAAACTCACTTTGCAACAGCTCACTGGTATATGTTGTAAGGGAATTGTTAAAAATGGTAAAGAATCTTTGGTTAGACGAATTACCATCTTAAAGTTTGACTCAATTCAGAAGGCAGAGGAGGAAAGTTTGAGATTGCCATACATTAGTAGAAAGCACGTAATTAGATTCACACCAAATTTATTATGTCATTGGTTCCCTTTTTCTCATTGATATCTGTACATGTCCCTCTTAAATATTCCAGAAGAGTGGGTAGATTTTGCAATTTCAAAGTTCATATTTCCTTGCTTGAAGTTAAAGTGACTCTGTTGTCTTTTGATTTGAAAAACAGAGAAATAATGTTTGCTGTAGAATGAAAGAACTGGAAGAACAAAGAATTTTCTTTTAATAGAGAATATATTTTGCACTTCTCTGAATTGCAATTTAAAGCAGAAAAACATAACTAATCATAATGGGCCTAGACTTAAGCCACAATTAAACCCACTACTGCAGGAAACAACAAATTCCTAAAAACTAGGAAACTAACTATGAAACAATCAAATTAAATAAAAACAGCTTGAAAAACGTGGTAGCCATCTAAACACTATTTCTAACACTCCTCCTTGTTTAGATGCTGTAAACTCCAAGTTTCTTTCTCAAAATCTCAAACTTGCTAGTTGGCAAAGGCTTGGTAAATACATCTGCTTACTGATCTTCAGATTTGCAGTAGACAAGAATTACAACACCTTCATTTTGCACCTCCCTTAAGAAGAAAAGCTTGATGTTGAATTGCTTAGTCCTCCCATGAAATACAGGATTGTGAGAAATTGCTATTGCCGCTTGGTTGTCCACGAACACCTCTGTACTTTCAGTTTGTTCCATGTGCAGATCAATCGGTATTTTTCTTAGCCACAATGCTTGATTGTTGCAGCTATAAACTATGCTTCAGCAGTAGATTGAGCTATAGTTTCTTTTTTTTTGAGCTCCACGAGATAACACCAGAACCAAGTGTGAAACAGTAGCCTGAAGTGCTCCTCATATCATCAATGGAACCTCCCCAATCACTATCTGAGAAACCAACCAACTTGAACTCTTTGCTCCTCGTAAATTTAAGGCCAAAATCACATGTGCCTTTGACATATCTAATCACCCTCTTTGCAATTTTGAGATGCCATTCACTTGCACGGTGCATAAATCGAGACAAAACTTACAGCTTTCAAAATGTCAGGCCGAGTTGCTGTGAGATACATCAAGCAACCAATTAGACTTCTGAAATATGCCAGATCAATCTTATCTGTTCCATCTTCTTTACATAGCTTTTTCTTTTGGTTCATGGGAGTGCTCATTTCTTTGCATTCTTCGAGTTTAAACTTCTTCAGAATCTCCTTGGCGTATTTCTTTTGACACATGAAGACTTCATGTTCATTTTGTTTAATTTCCATTCTAAGAAAGAAGGTCATCAAATCGAGATCTGTCATCTCGAAAGCCTCCATCATTTCCTTTTTGAACTCTTCAATTAAACTTATATTACTTCCCGTAACTAGAAGATCATCAACATATAATGAGAAAACCAAAATCTCCATGCCAGCACACTTGACATATAGCGTGGATTCTGAGAGGATTTTAACAAATCCAAGACTCAGCAAGTGCTCGTCAATTCTGCTATACCAAGCTCTTGGAGCTTGCTTCAAACCATATAGAGCCTTCTTAAGAAGATAAACCTTATCTTCTTCACCTTCCTTCGCAAAGCCTTCAGGTTGCTCAACGTATATTTTTTCTTGGAGAACTCCATTCAAGAAAGCAGATTTGACATCTAGCTGATATACGCTCCAATTTCATTGTGCTACTATTGCAAGTAGT